ACCTCGTATACGTCTAACTGATCCCAATCAGTCTTATCAACTGAAAAGAAGGAAGTGTGACGCGTATATATATATATATATATATATATATATATATATATATATATATATATATATATATATATATATATATATATATATATATAGAGGAGTGATCACATATGGCATATACATTAGGTGTGGCAGTGTGGTCAAATAAGAGCCGTCTAATCATTTCAATCCAACGGACAAGATTATAATTTTATGGCGCGCCTATTTATCTATAGCGTAGCAGAGAGGGGTAGATCTGTCATTTCATTCTATTCAAACACTGTGTGAAGGTTCCTTCTACAAGTCATATCGATTCATAATCCCAAAGCACAAGAGAACCGCTCCACTTCTCTCACTCTCTCAGCGACGACGTACTCTCCTTACTCCACGAAAGACGGCGATAATGGTGAAAAAAGGCAAGGAACCGGCGCGCATGGGTATGAACTCACTGCATTCTGTAATATATACTTGAAATAGACCTTTTTGTGTGTTTTAATTGATGATCGGTGTATACTAAATAGGTAATTAGAGTATTTTCAGTGCCCTACATGCTTCCACTCGTCCATATCGTTTTTGTTCTGTGCATTGTCAATGGCATCGTGTAATATATTTCAATAAATACTGGTGTAATGGTGTATTTTTTCATTGTGCTTGTGTGTTGACTGTAGTGTACATTTCAATACCTACTGGTGTATTCTGACATACCTCAGTTGAGTATTGTAACCAACATTGTTGTGTGTTTTTCTTTGATATTGGTGTATTTTTTCATTGTGCTTGTGTGTTGACTGTAGTGTACATTTCAATACCTACTGGTGTATTCTGACATACCTCAGTTGAGTATTGTAACCAACATTGTTGTGTGTTTTTCTTTGATATTGGTGTATTTTTTCATTGTGCTTGTGTGTTGACTGTAGTGTACATTTCAATACCTACTGGTGTATTCTGACATACCTCAGTTGAGTATTGTAACCAACATTGTTGTGTGTTTTTCTTTGATATTGGTGTATTTTTTGATTGTGCTTGTGTGTTGACTGTAGTGTACATTTCAATACCTACTGGTGTATTCTGACCTACCTAAGTTGAGTATGGTAACTAACATTGTTGTGTGTTTTATTTTGATATTGGTGTATATTTCACTAAGTAATAGTGTATTCTGGACTACATCACTTGAATATAATAAAAAACATTGTTGTGTGTTTTAGTTTTATATTGGTGTATTATTTCTTGTGTTTGTGTTGTTGATTGTAGTGTATATTTCAATAAGTAATAGTGTATTCTGGACTGCATCACTTGAATAGAGTGAAAAACATTGTTGTGTGTTTTAGTTTGATATTGGTGTATTTTTCAACATTGAGCTTATATCATGCAGACACCAAGAGGAAAACATTAGAACTAGAAGATCCCCCGGCAGCAAAACAAATAAGGAGGCAACAAGCCCTTGACTTCATTGATAGAATCGAGGTTGAGCTGCAAAATGAAGATTCCGAGCAACAAAATCAAGATGAGTCCAGCTCAAATGATGAGGAAGATGTACTGGATGTTGAAGACAAAGAAGCTGGCCTAAAGATACGACCCCTTCCCACCCAATTAATGAACCCAATTGCAGACCTAACTGATCCCCAACGCAGAAGTGTAGAAGATATTGGACTAGGGAGACTTCTTGACCTGAATATTACCAATGTCCCAAGGAAGTTGGGGCTCTGGCTTGTTCAAAACTATGACGCTAGGAGCAACACGTTAAACCTGCCAACTGGTGAACGACTACCCATCACAGAACATGATGTTGCTGCCACAATGGGGCTGCCGATGGGAGGCATTGAAATTGTTAAAAGGGCATCCAAGGAAGTGTCTACACTATTGGCTGGCTGGAGAGCAATGTTTGGAAAGACTAACGGCCACATCACCCCCCATATTATGTCTGAGCATATGTTGACACTAAATGCTACTGATCCTTGGTTCAAAAGGCAGTTTGCACTGCTTGTAATGAGTGTATTGGTTGAGCCCCAAGTCAATGGTTATGTCAACCAAAGCTACATTGATAACTTCCAAAATGTTGACAACATCAAGAATCTAAATTGGTGTAGAATGCTCATCAATTCGCTCATCACCAGCAAGCAGTCATGGCTGGACAGTGTTGATGGGAGATACGGAGGACCAATTATTTTCCTGATGGTAAATATACTACCAGCAAGATGCATCTAATTTATTACCCACCGATCAATTAATACTCTAAAATGCAAAATGCAGATATTCTATGTTGACCGTGTGGTGCTCTACCGGAGGACAGTCCCAAGAAGCTTCCCTGCCATGAAGAGCTGGACATTTAAGCTGCTCCGTCAACGAGAACAAGCAGAGATAAAATCTGGTGGCTTTGGATATGGCCGTCTTGAAGATGCCTTGCCATTGGACATCACACCGTTCAAAGAAGAAAGTCCCCCCCCCCCCCCCCCCCCATTGATACAATCTGATGTTCGACCCCAACCACTGGCTATTGAAAGTAATGCACCACTTCCCACTGCGTTACAGGTAAAACAGACCACTTGAGTCACATTCATGGTGTACTCCCTTATATCTCTTTTACTGTTTTTAAACCTATTGACTGTTGTGCATCTTACAATGCGGTACCTTAATCAGTTTGTGTGAATAAGATAATGTACTATAATGGTGTGCTTCTTAATAGTATTTAGTGCATATTTTGATATACATTGGTGTGTTTTATTATATCCTTGATGTGCATATGCAGGAGTTTGTTGATGAGATTACTAGCAACACAAGGACAATTGCAACAAGTTTGCTGAGAATATCCAGACTGATTGAAAATGCACCTGCTGCTGTTTTGGAACATCATACATTCAAGCAAGTTTTTGAGTCTGCTAGACAAATGCTAGGATTCAAAGCACAGGAAGATGGACAAATGACATTTACCCAAAGCGAAGACGCCTACTGGAGTGACCCTGAGTTTCTGAAAGCAGTTGATGAGATTGTACGTGCGGTGAACAAAAGGAACTTCCTAAATGATATACCCTCTTTCAGCCTGGGATTGTCACAGGATGAACCAAACAAAAGCTGGGCAGATGTGAGTGAAATTGCACGTGACTACCAGGATGTTAACGAAGCTGATGAGCCTGCTGAAGTTCAGTTGGGTGTGGATGATGATCAAGCAGCAAACAGACACCAAGAATGCCCTCAGACAGCTCAACAAGAACCCCTCTCTGACCACCATAAACAGGCCTTGCATGAGACTCACGCAGCTGACACTAATACTGAGGTAATAAACTATAATAAATCCAACATTAACACACTATAAAACCTGATGCTGTCAATGAGGCCAGATTCACAGATCCCAGTCTCTATAATTGATGCTTGGGCAGCCATAATCAACATCCGTGAGTCAGAAAGAGGATGTACGAAGTTCATTGCTTCGTTATGGACAACAGTGAGTTGAACATATAAACCTAGCTTCAACTTTAACCAGCTTACAGTTCTAACAAAAATACCCTTACAATTTGCAGTTGTACACCGTTGTGGACCCACATGGAGATGAGGACGTTAGATTTGCAAGATTCAAATCAAAGTACCTTGAAGACAAACTCATCGCTGGCGACGTTAGGTGGAACAGCATTCTATACGTAAGATGTTAATATACATTTGATGCATCCTACTGTTTATCTATTTGTGGTGCATTACCAAGATTCGTACTAACCCCCGTAAAAAACATATCTTTTTTCTATAACAGTTTTTGTTTCCAATTGTATCATGCAACCACTACTACCTGCTTTCCATTTGCCCACTAATGGAAAGATTTGATATTATTGACAACTCTTCTGTCACTGTGAAGAAAGAAAACAAGTATGGGACTGTGCTTGCAAATATGGTAACGCACTAAACCCTGTCTGATTACATATAATTACTGCACAACAACAACAAAAAATGCTCAGATTGTATTACTTGATGCAGCCAAAATTCTTGTCAAGGTTCTTGTCTGACCTGAAATCCTCATACAAGGCTGAGAAAGTGAACAAGGTGAAATCTAAGATAATGAAAATGCCTTGGAGAGATGCACACAACAAGGTAGATTGTGGGATCTTTCTCATGCGACATTTAGAGACTTTCCGAGGGCAGACATATGATCAGTGGCAGTGTGGACTTCAGAAGGACAACAAGGACCAGTTGAACAAGCTACGAGTTCGATACATGGCTGCCCTAATCATGTCAGACTTAAATGAACACAAACATAGAAACATTCAGCAGGCAGCAGAGTTCCGACTTTGAGCATGACATTAATGTGGAAGAAAGACACTGTGAATATCTCTGACTTGACATGTTTTTTTGTGGTTTTTGATGACCAGCAGTTAATTTTTGTGATGCCAGACATCTAATCTGACAACTACATGTGCTCTTTTTGCGCTATAACAATGCACCATATGCTATAGTAAAACGCACCATGATATATTCTAACATGCACAAATATTTCTGTGTTATAAAACGTCTGCATACCTGTAAAATACACCAACCACACAAGTAAACACACACCATTGATATTTATTATAATCAATTTACATGATTCAGTATACACTATTCTGACTGTAATATACACTACATTCAAAACCATAATACATGGTTGAATATATATAAATATGCACCACTATATGACTGAAAACGCACCACTGTCTATTATAAAATGCACAATACCAACCACACTCCAAAAAATCTGATTCTGTGTTATGAATCATCTGCATACCTTTAAATACACCAATCACACATATAAAACACACCACAATCACACATGTAATTCAGAATACACTATAAAATACACCAAATTGTGTGTCAAAACGCACCGTTATGTATTGTAAAACGCACAATTCCACAATGTCTACAAAATCCGAATTCTTTGTGTTATAAAATGTCTACACAACTGTAAAAACATCAAATTCCACAATACAAACCAACTAAGAAAACAACACAAAACTCTAGCCATTTAATGGGCACGTCCTACTATTATGGCCATATTCATCACAAGTATGGCATTTCCTTGATTGCTTTATGCACTTATTCACAGCTTTCTCCCTTGCACTCTTCATCCGCTTCCCGCCGCCCTTGTTCTTAGCTTTAATTGGATCACGCACCTCCACTGTTGACCCCTGAGACACATCACCACAAAATGATTTAATCACACTTTCTTTGCTGCTACCAGCTACCCCATTGTTATCCTCACACCCATCTTTGATAAAAGAACTCCCTTTGCTCACAAATAACACGTCTTAGTTTTTCCAACCGTTCTACATTACCATCAGCCAATCCCACGCAAGCATAAATTTCAGACCACATTAGATTAGTAAGCACCCTAACATTGTCCACTTTAGCCGATTGGTCAACAACCGTATCATCAATATCAAATATTGGCTTCAAACTAGCACCTTTTGTCCACCGAGACACCAAATACATAGAAGGAATTCTCTCAAGTCCATGATCTTTAAACACAAAAAAAATATGCCTACACACCAACCCCATCCGCTCAAACATCTTGCATGAACATATAGCACTACAGTCAGCCAACAAAAACTCCACAGACCATGCCTTCTTGTCACCATCTTTTATCCCATAGCACACCTTACCCTCGCACTCACACAAAGACACCACTCGACAAGAAAAACAACCTTCACAAATCTCTACTTGCACATCATAAAATACAGAAATGGTATAGACATCCATTGCATGTTTCTCCAGCGCCAATGGAGTCTTCAAAACAGGAAAGCATGATTCAGAGTTAGCAGTCAATTTTGCTTGGGCATGTCGTTGTGCACTAATAGCACTATCAAAATGCACCAAAAACTCAACCAAACTGGAATGACCATTGGAGAAACTGCCAAAAAAACTATTTTGAGACTCTGATCGAGATGTTGTCCTAACAAATCCCGACATAAACTCATCATGAAAGTATGGAGATGCCCAAAATGTACGAGACTCAAACAAGTAACGAAACCAACCATTATCACCCAAACCATATTCCTCTATAATACGACTCCATAAATCCTCAAAAGTTTTGGAATCTATAGATTTGTTCCAAACAATGCCATTCAACTTCCTCCTAAACACCTCGTCCTTAGCTAAAACCGGTCCAACCTTCTCGCCAACCTTGCACATTATATGCCACATGCAGAATCTATGTTTTGATGTACCAAACACACGAGCAACTGCAATCTTGACAGCTGGATCTTGGTCAGTAACGACACAAATAGGTTCATGACGCATGGTTTTCTTAAATCTCTCCAAAAGCCAAACATATGAGTCTACGTCTTCCCTCGTAAGTAAACCAGCACCAAATGTGATGGATCTCTTATGGTTATCAATTCCAGTAAATGGGACAAACACCAAATTATACCTACATAATGCACAACCCAATAACTACTGAATATACTAAATATAACAAAACACACTATTTGAAATCAAAATATGCACCAATATATTATACATAATACACAATAACTATAAATTACTAACCTGTTAGATCGGTATGTAGCATCGAATAAAACAACATCACCAAACAATGCAAAGTTCTTCCTTGATACTGCATCTGCCCAAAAAACCCTTGTAAGCTGATCAACATCATCAACGTCATATTCAAACTCGAAAGCCTCACACAATTCACGCCTTTTAAAAAGCGTATCTATGAATAGTTGAGCATCACCATTCAATATGTATGCCATCAAATCACGCTTGAAATTCTTAAAATCCACCCCAGTAGCCCCAACATTGGAATACTCACCAACAATCTCCTTAAACAGCTTATACGACCGAACATACCAAATATTTGCCCGAACACAACTTGCAATGAACATTTGATGGCCAGTATCAAGACTACGATTCACCTTTAAAAACTGCTTAGCAATAATTGAACACATCACATGAGTGTGTCGTTCCTCCAAAAAATGCACAACAAACAGTCCATTAGACTTACGCTTAAACACCACTCTAGCCTTGCAGCCAACCCTATTTGTCACCCTCCGTCTCTTCACAACAATAGGCTTACCATCACCAACACACGTAGATTGAGTACTATAAATACTCTGTTTAAACCCCTCTCGGCTACAAAATACCTGTCTCTCCACAACAACACCATCCCTCCTCCTCCGAATTGTACCCTTTCTACAATCAAAACCAACATACCCAGCATACTGTTTATAAAAAACAATAGCACAATCCAATGAATCAAACGTTTGCCCCACCATAGGCTTCAAACTATCAGTGCAAACTGGACGCCAATACTTAGTCAACCCAGGAGACGTTTCCAAAACACATGCATTGTCTTCCGCCTCAACATCAGTCAAACAGTGTTCACTGGCACCCTGACCACTAGTCTCTACAGCAACATCAGTTGAATTCCCTTCATCACACTGACTCCCACTTCCTTCTACGCAACCATCAATATGACCACCACTGCCTTCTACACCGGCATCAATTGACGTATCTTTATCACAAACGAAGCCCACCGGGTCCATAATAATACACCATGTATATATAATAACACACTAAAATAACCAATGCATGACATTTGGTAACTACAAAACACATAAAATACTATACTACTTAATATGCACCACAATCATGCAACTTTCACACTATATTAACACAATAACACACAACATCGTAACAACAACAGTGACTTATCTCACCACCAGAAAAATATCAAACCAGATAAAAAAATGCTATACTACATTAATATGCACCATGATGATTCAAATTTCGCACTGTATTCACGCATTAACGCACAACGTCGTACAGCAACATCGACTTATCTCACCCCCAAGAACAATATCAATCCATATAAAACCGATATAACACATCCATGACATAACAAACGCATATTATTATGATCAAAATAAAACTACAAACGTCAATACATCAATACATACCATTCTCCATCGCACAAACTGCCCGGTATACTCAGATTGCCCTACCAACTGATCTCCGGCGACCTTCTCCGATTTGCGAACCGATCGCGATCTTGAACTTCCCGAAATTGCGATGTGATCGCTATCTTGATCTTCTCTTCACCAAGTTGCCGATTCTCTCCGAGTTTACATATATAGAACAGAATAGAATAGAAATTACCTTATATACATTCCCGTAACCATGTAAATGAAATTACATAACTACCCCCACTTACCAAAACGCGAACAACTCTTCCTTATTTTTGAAAATACGCCTCTGCCGTTAGATTGCCTTGATCCAATGGTTCAAATATAACCACACTGCCACACCTAACTACACTGCCACATTTGAGCATTATTCTATATATATATATATATATATATATATATATATTTAAAATTTTTTTACCAGTAACCTATTGGTTACCTGTAAATTAGGTCTAATTGCACAATTTTAAAGAGTTGAAGTGTGTAATTGAACCTTTTTAATGTTTAAGGGCCTAATTGCTTTTTCATCAAAAGTTAAATGGTCTATTTGACCCTTTTCCCTTATAATTATAATAACAAATCCAAACTGAAGGATAATTTACAAAACAAATCTATATAAGTATTCAGTTGTAATTGTATATGGTAAAATGAGAACAGGAGGAGAATTATTTGTAAATAATATAGAGTTACTATTTTTTTTTTTTGTTGATAAAAATAGAGTTACTATTTTACTATCACAAAAATGTTTGAATAAAGTTTTGATTGTTAAAATTCCTATGTTTTCAATTTATAGTATATTATTTATAACCTTTTACTCAATTAGAGTGATGGTATGATTGATTGACTTTTTTATTATGAATATTATTGCAGTATATCTTTGGCACTTTATATAGTAGGAGAAATGTTTGAATAAAGTTTTGATTGTTAAAATTCCTATGTTTTCAATTCATAGTATATTATTTATAACCTTTTACTCAATTAGAGTGATGGTATGATTGATTGACTTTTTTATTATGAATATTATTGCAGTATATCTTTGTCACTTTATATAGTAGGAGCTGAAAAATCTTGATTGATCCGACACGACTAAAATAATATAATTGTAAACAAAAATGGTCCACTAAGAGAGAAAAAGTGGGTAATTCTATTTGCATCACCCTAATTGCTATTTACACCACCCTTTCATAGGTGTACTAGCTTTATAGGTGGTGTAAATAGAACAACTTGCTATTTGCACCACATTCATTAAAGTTAGTCAAACATTATATTTTTATTTAAAACTAGTATTTTCACCCGTACGATGCACGAAATGGATTTGTTATAATATATTGAGAATATTTGGATCAATATACAATTATTTAAATTATAACATCAAATACTCTGTATTATATTGTGTAATTGAAGATATGGTTTCAATCGTTTATGTTTGTTGATGTTATCATTACTTGAATTCGATCAAGTAATTGTTCAAATTAATAGTTAATGTGTAGATGTACACATGTGGTGCTGTAACTTTAGAGATTTTTATATATCATTGTTTAGAATTTTTATAAATTGGGTAAATGTGCTCTTTCTCTAGCAACTTAGTTATAGTAATCAATTGTTATCCTAATTCATTTGTATAAAGGATATATTTTCGTTTAGATATATAGCAATTTTGTCATTTTGGAAAAAAAAAAACTATCATCGATTGTATTTACACATTATTGAAAAAATCTGTGTAGACGACATTGGTAGTCGCAACACAATCTTGTCCATCCTTGTCTAGAGCTAACACCTTCAGGCCATCAGGATGGGTGACTCAGGAGAAAGCAACATACAATTGTTTATGATTAAAGACTGTTTTTTTTAACAATAACCCAACGTGAGTTAGTGTTTGACCTTGACTTTTGTTGATAGTCATGGAATATGCAAGCATCAACGGGAATGGTTTACGCTAGAACTTGAAGGAAAATCTCGTATCAAAAGGAGTGAGAGACAATCGGGGGATAAGAACTTTGGTTCATTCATGTATTCCATTAACTATTCTTGCTTCGACAATGTGATCTACCAATCTTGTGATGATGAGTCGTGTCCCGTTACAAAGACCAATATAATAGAGTGGTCTATGTTCCGCAATAACATAACAGGTTCACCGACCATTAATGTCAATGAATGATTATGAAGACCCGATAGTCTCAAACTATTTAAGAATTCAGGTGTGTGTACTTCTGATAGATTTTCACTGTCTGATTCTGCCTTACACAAAGAGTTACAAGTTAAATATATTCGTCCTTCTACAGTATCCATGTCGCACATGTACTGATTAATTTGATCAATGACATCTAAAGTCGGCGAGAGGATCGCTCGACCTTCTAGCTACGACTCATCAAGTATGCCATATCTCGAGCTTGGGAATGTGCTTTTCACTATAGTTGCTATGGGATTGTGTCCACACTTCAACAAAAATCTGTGCCAGAATATCGATGTCAAATAAACCGTTGTTTACAACCCTTGCAATCCCATCTCGGATATCTGCAATCTATTTTGAAAACCAATCAACCGTCTATCTATCTTCCTCTAAAGCTAAGGTCCGTAGTCTCAAGTTCTTGGTGAGCCTTAATACCTTCCAATTTGTCCATAGGTATGAAGAATTAATATTTTCTCCAACAACTACTGATCTTGTTGCTTTCAAAATAACAGGTGGGATTTGTTTAAAATCGTTGCCCAAAACTATTATCTTTTCACCAAAAGTCTTTTCAGCACTCCCTGGTATGGTGAACCTTAATAGATCCCTCATGGTTTTGCGAAAAACCTCATAATAGTGTTTGTGCATCATCAGTGTTTCATCCCATATGATCAATGGCTATAACAGAAAGGTAGTTATGTTAGTTACAAGAGGGAAGAGGGGTGGTTGAATCTAATACTGTAAATCTATTTGTTACAAGAATATTTGAGTTGTTGCATACTGCATGTGCTGACAGAATTGACATAAATCCATGCAATTCTTGAAAATGTGAAGTGTTGAACCGATGTTGAATGATAATTTTGCTTTGATCAAGACTTGATTTGATTAATGTGTCTTGTGACTGAATGACTCGGTCGATATAAAGAAATGGTAGCTTGATGGTATCGATGACCTGCACTTTCTCAAAATACTTCTATAGATATGTCATCTACAAAGTAATCCTTTAGCATTCAGATACACATTCTTGCATGCTTTCATCAATTCCAACTCTCGATATGTGACGATAACACGTGGGGTAATGCATCCCTCAATTGTGGCTTTGAGACAATTTAATGCCCAAGTATAATTGGACTCATTCTCTTTGTGCATGAAGGCGAACACTATGAAAAATGTCATATGGGTCAAAGTTACACCAACAATTTCGATGAGGGGCATCGAATACCTATTTGTTTTATATGTCGCATCTATCAACAAGACATGTGGAAATGCACGCTACTTCTCCAGAGATTTAGGATGAACAGAGAACAAATCTTCCAACTCATTTGTTGCATTATTAGTACGGCTCTCATGCACATAACCATTGTCATGTAAAATAGACATAACAACTTGCATTTGAGTTTTACATGTTTTCTCCATCATCCAAAATTTTTTGCGTGCATTGTATATGGCTTTTGTAATGGAAACATTATTCGAATTTTGGCTCTTCACAGACGTTAAAATATCTCGCGGTTTTACATGCATGGCCGACAAATGTTCCACAAACTTTAAAATATAGTTTTACCATTTCAGTAGAAATTTCGCACGCAACATCGAGATTTGGGTTCATCTGATCATCATTTTTATTTCCATTGTCATCATGAAGTTCGATTGCATCTTTGTAATAAACAGACAAACGAATTACAATTTTTAGTAATGATATTTGAAAGTATATATAGAAAAAAATAACAATTCATTAATAATGTTTGACATCATATATATAAATAATACAAATGAAATTGGATATATGATAAAATATATTTCAAACAAATAACAACTTAAAATACCTCATAATGTCGTTGGCTTTGATTTTGATCATTGTAACTATATATATATATATTAAAAAAAAAAAAAAAAAAAAAAAAAAAAAAAAAAAAAAAAAAGGCTTTGATTTTGATCATTGTAACTAAAAAAACTTCTATCCAACCATCCATGGCTTATAGATTGTGTGATACATATACATAACACATGCATATATATATATATATATATATATATATATATATATATATATATATATATATATATATATATATATATATATATATATATGGAATAAGGGTCAAATAGGCCATCGAACCGCACACAATAATGCAATTAAGCCATTGAACTCAAAAAAGCAACAATTAGGTCCCTAAACTAACCCATTTCAAACAATTTGTCCAATTTACAGGTTTTCCCCTTTCTAACAGGTCACTCAATTTAAAATATATTTTAAAAATAATTTTTTTAAAAAAATTTAATCCAAATAAACTAAAATTATTTATTAAACAAAAACAAAAAAAAAAAAAAAAAAAAAAAAAAAAAAAACTTAAACTTCGTCTCCGCCGGAGACGAAGATCCCTTCGTCTCCATGGCCGGAGACGAAGATCCCTTC